TAGTAAGTTTTATAGTACTATCGATAATATAAATAGAATAACGCGATCTCACTGCAGCATAAACTTCACTGTGTGTCGTAGTATACGGTGGAGCGTAGAAGCAGGCTGAAGGGCACGAAAGTTCACATCCTTGCGTTCCTTCAGCGGAATGATTGGTTGACACATGGACATTGAGCTTAGGTGTTCAGCTTTAGCCGAAAGGAAGCCGCTACGTGTGGCGACTTGAAACTTATATCGCATTTCGTGATTTCAGAATAAAAATATGAAATGCTGAGTTTTTATTAGTAAGGTGCGACAGGTTACTTTTGAATGTGAATTAATTTATGAGCATACTTTGGTCTTTTGATTGCGGCAGTAATTTATTTATTTCACCAGAAGATTGCTTATGAATTAAGCGAGCTAAGTACTGCTGATAGTAGGCTATCGCAAATGATTCGGCAATATTGTCGCCCAAGAAGGGAATAATTATTCAGATGGCTATTCATAATGCCATCGGCAGCAGTACTCCTGATGGTACTATTTACTGCGCTTATCGATAATATCGATACTTTATTAATATCAACACTATCGATAGTTAAAAATAAATCTAGTGATACTATCGATGGTCTTTTTATTCTTGTTCGGCATCCCTACTTGAAACACCACTGTGTTGACATCCGAATACATTGAGACCTAGGCTGAGAAAATGATGAAAAAAGAGACAGTGCCGTCTCGTCTCAGATGCCCCCGTGACTGGGGAAATGATTCATGCCGAAATTGCGGTAACTGCAGTTAGCAGCGATGACCGACATGTTAGCCGAGAGAGGGAATTCGTTGCGACTGTTGCGGCGACAAATTCCACTTACAATCGCAAGAAACGAAGAAAGGAGCCTCGAGAAAGGATGGCGACTGCTGAAGGACCCTCTGAAGCCTCGCTGAGCGATGTCAAGTCGCCCTCCTCAGCGAGGCTCCCGAAGATCAGGAGTGGGCCATCTAGCGGGCTATATATGGTCGTCGCTGAGGACCGCGGAAGATGTTGCTCGAGCGGTGGATCTCTAGCAGCCTATCCGCATGCACAGTAACAACCGTTGGGGCAAATAAAGTTTGTTCAACTCAACATCAATTAAAAACATCCTAGAATCATCATCATCAACAACGACCATTTCAATGTCCCTTCCGGCCCTCCACTCCGCTCGAGGAAAGCCTGGATCCGCGCCTGAAAGCTTTAGCGAACAGTGTACGGATCTCGCAGCTGTAAGAGAGGCACAAAACGCTGCGATCTTGGGCACAGAAGAAAGAAAAAAAAATACACACAAGAAAATCCGTCTACCGCCCGTTGTGTGAGCCACGAAAAGAAAGAACTGGAGCAAGTTCGGCCACTCCGACGATAAACGTGTACGGCCTGTAGGCCGGCCAGCGTATGGGTGCGTTGGGGCACGCTCGCTGCTGCTGCAAGTGCTGCCCAGAGCCCTGGGCTTGCTCAAGCGTGGCTAGGAGCGGTCACGCTTCATTCTTACACGGCCGTTTTCTTCCATCCTCCTCCCCTCCGCGTTCTCAAGGGAAATCACTACACTGCACGCGAGACGCTTTCGAAGAGAAGCGCGCATCTGCGCTTAAACCAAACCACTATTCGCAGCGAAGGGAGGAGACTCGGGTGCCCGAACGTCCGGAAACACCATGAATACTAAAGCCGCTAAAAGTAATAAGTAAGAACTGAAGTACCGAATAATAATAATAGTAGAGCGAGCAATGCAGCGTCAGAGAAATTGTGCGGGGCTCCTATACCACTCTGGAAGGTCAGCGAAGCATCGCTTCCTAAAACATCTGAGTGCAGAGGAAAAAAAAAAAAAATCACTGCTTAACTTAATGAGGAAAGGACGAAACATCAAGATGGCAGATGAAAAAAAAAAAAGGCTCCAAGCCGGGGTTCAGTTAACTGTACTGTATCTGGTGTAGTGGACGTCAAGGAGAAAGGGGTAGGAAGTACGTTAACTATACTCTAAACCGCGCTGCTGGAAACACGAAAAAGGCAATTCATTCTTCATTTTTCTTTCACACAATCTTCCAAGCGTTTACATTTTCTCTTTCTTCCCTCCTCCGCCACTACAGCTATCGCCACCCACGCTGCCACGGCGAAATTGTCGAATTTTCCGGTCCACAGCTCACGCGCAGAAAAAGGTCGTCTTCCTTGCTCTTGTGAAATGGCGACCATGACTTAGAAAAAGGAAGAAAAAAAAAAGAAGTGCTAAACAACGGGAAGCCAGCAACTGCAGAAATTATAATGATCGACAAGTTTCCACGCAGTTCTCAAACACGGGGTTTAACGCTTAAGCCAGTACCAACAGCAGGCGAAATGCGCAGGCTAAGTAGAGCCAATGCCGATGGAAGCATATGTATGAGACGAGTGGGCTATACAGTAGAAAACCACGTGCGCGTCTATGTCAACATGTTTATTTAGGCCACACCGTCCATCGTAGAGGGAACCGGGCTTCCGAGACGCGCGAATGTGTGACGAAGCGGCGGATATATGCAAAGAATCGGCAGCATGCTCAACTGGTGCCAGGAAAGCTCAGGCAGCAGGAACGGCCATGGCACACATGGCGCGCGCGCCCTCTTATGGCTTGTGCGTAGAAAAGAACGCCGCGGGTGCCAATACGAATTCCCCGAAACGTGGACGTTCGACTACATCGGGAAATGCCATGTCCTGCGATCAACTCGCATGCCGATAACTTCGTCGATTTTGCTGCCAGCCTCGCGCGTCGCGATATGCAAGTCGGCCCGAGTCCTTAGAACTCGTGACGACTTGCATGACCTACGCGCGAGCTGGCAGTAAAATCAACGGTCTTTAGACTCGTGCCTTCTAAAGTCACGCGTATAAAGTACTATTGTCATACACTCACGGGTCTTTAGAAGCACTATAGGCCTATTAATAAATCGCCGCGAAGCGGACTCTTGAAAAGCGCGTCCATCGAGGGCTGAATTTCGAGCGGAGATGACGATGATGAGGTCTCTACCATGGCTTCTACTTAACCAGGAGGGTCGGCCAAGAATTGGTCATATGAATTCCTTAGAGCTTTCAAGCATTAAATATTTATAGCAACAAAAAGAAGCGCGGGCGCTCATTTCTCTTTTTAGGGCAACAGTGCTGCTCTTGCCCTCGACCCATTACACGCCCGTGGCATCAGCGTACACAAGAATATCAGTGTGTCTGCACATGTACGCTGCATGCTGACCTTCATGTTTGTGCACGCACGAAAAATTACGAGACAAAAGGGATACGAACTCTGACACACCCATTTGCCGGTTAGAGCAGGCTAAATCCAAACCTCGGCTCGTTACGCTTCATTTCAAGCATTTGTTCTTTTGATAATGAAAACGCGAGGGCCACCAAGGTATCGGCTGTAACGAAGGAATATTCGCACAGGGCCCGAAATTCGAAAGGGAGAATAAAAAGTAAATAAATATTGACAATCGCAACGATATATCAAGGTGGTTGTGACACTACGAATGTTATTGAGCATCTTCTTAAAGGTTGCGGGCATTTCACTCCTCCGGCACGCCTACCTAAAACGTGTACAAACAGAACCGGAAAAACTTTGCAAGGCCACGTGACGAGAAAAGGTGGCGCCGCCTGTCCAGCATTGAAGGAAGGCAAGCAAAGCAACGCTCTAATTTCGCTAACCTTTCTGCTATCTGGCCGTCAGATCTTTATCAGCTACTGATAAAACAAATATCGAATATAACAAACCAATTTATGGTACTGATGCTGCTTCGTTGTACCGAGCTTCAGCTGCACGTGTACAGTCGCGTTCAATATGCGTAGCAACATGCTGGCTGTGGTTGAGGTGACCCCAGGACCGAACAATCACACCAACAAACAATAAATTGGTTGAGAAAGGACAACTAATTAAGAGACTTTAAATCACATGTTTTTTTATGCAGGTGCCACTTTGTAGTGCTGGGACCATTTTGAGCACACACAGCGTGCTTTATTTCATATTGAGCACGACTACACATTCATCCTCCTCCACGTTTGCGGTTCGAGACAGCGAGCAAAGCAAGAATGCACAAGTTGCTAAGGAAGGTAGCCACTGCCACGACGAAGATACGTCCATTTGTTAGAACACTAGCTTCAGCGACATTCTCCATCCATTGCAAGTCTCTCATCTAATGCACGAAGGGTCGTTCACCAAATAGCCAGCAACAAGCCTGAAATTTTTTCGAAGAGGGACAGTGTGACTTACCTTCATGTATGCTTGGGCGTGTGTTTGTATGTCTGTATCAATACATAAAAAAAGAATGTAAAAATTTCAAAGAGGTTGAAACCCCCACCCCGTCCCTGGTTATGCCAAATAAACTAGTGCATGCAGTGCACCAGCTCCCCTGAAATAAATTCTGCAAGGTATTTTGCTTTCTTTGGCCGTTGATGTGTGATAATCATTCCTGGCGAATCACCCGTCTTTTTGGTGCGATCCCCCTGATAGAATGGATGATCTTTCGTCCACTTTAGCTATGGGTTTGATTGCCATACCGACCTAAGTTTATCCAATTTTCTTTTCAACTTAATTATCCAACTTGACTCACAGAGGCCCCCATAACCTTCCCATGATTTCGAGCATTCTTTGACCCACTTCAGATTCTTTATGCTTACATTCATGGCGCTGACTTTTTGCTCAAAAAACGGCACTGACAATGCCAACAACTCCCAAATTTCTGCAACATGGGGCCCTCAACACTCGTATTATAATGGCACAGGATTCGAACTCGGCATAGTTAATATTAGATTACTTAAAGTAACTATTCACATCTAGTAAAAACATGAATTTAGGTCTTCCAGTAATATTTATTTCAATATGACTACATTAAACTCATTTAGATCTGGGCTGTTTTCATGTGACCTAGAGAAACCGATCTAACCATCTCATGCTTAGGCAACCTCTTTTTTTTTTTCATACTCGAACCAAAATCATGTTACTGCTAGAAACAATAAAAGCAATAATGAAAACAAAAACATATTACAGTAAGCTTTAACATGCTTGCACTTTATTTGCTCATGACAGTACATCAAAAACCCATATAATTCCCCCATTCAAGTACCAACCGCCGTCACAACATTTCTAGGTAAAAAAAAATAATTCGATTAGCTGGAAAATTGAAGTTCTCATTTGATTAAAATATCAGATAATTCAAAATTGCTCGTGAAAAGCTGTACAAGAACTCCACAACCAGCATTCGTCATAACATGTCCCTGCAAAAACTTTTCAAGAAGCTCTAATGAAAATCGTATGTTGACACCACTTCAACATCTAGAACAGGATCACATAACCATTGTCAATAGATGAAGCAGTGATGAGAGCACTTCTGAATTTACAGACTATTTACAGTAAAAATGAGGGTGGCTTCTGAAGTTCATGTGCCGAAGAGAAAAGTTTAAAATGTTCCGTTGTGTCACGCCACAATGCTGTCCTCTTTTTCTGACAATTCCATCTTCTTGATTTCTTCATTCAGTTTCTCCTCAATATCTTTCAGCAATACGTCTTGGACGAGAGGGTAAACCTGATGACATGCAGCGATCAATGCTTTCATGTCCTGCAAGAATGAGAGATAAGTTTATGTCGATTCATTGTTAATCCATGTACATTGAAGCAAAATTGAAGCTTCCAATAGTTAATTCATGGCTAATTAATGACCAGAAAAAATGAGTTAATTGAGATTACCACCGTAAACAAGGTGAAGTAGTGCATTCGAAGAAACTTGCATTTAACAAACAAAAGGATGAGAAAATGACACAAATATTTCATTTTAAAAACTCGACAGAAAAAAAAAAAGCTCATTCCCCTGACACCATTCGCGTGAATGCTGAGAGAGTGTAAGGGGGAGAGGCCACAGCCTACTTATGAGGGCCCACACGCGCTAGTGCGTTCGGGCCTGCATTTTCTAAAGGAGAAAGAGGGGGGAGCAAAGGAGAGGAGACAGAGTAAGAGGGGACGCAAGTGCGCTCTATGGGAGTGGACGCCACAGAAGGGCAGAGAGGACGGGAGTGCAGGAGATGATAAATACAGAGAGGGAACGCGCATGCGCAGTAAGGGTGGCTAAGCCGCACACCAGATGAACTCCGCCATAAGCTGCTTCGCATCTATAATGCGAAGCTCGAAGTCCCGTTGACTTGGTTATTTGGCGACTACAGAATCAGACATCAATGCAGATTTCTGCAATAAAGGCCCCATGAAGGGGTCCTGCAACACTTTTTGAACATGGTCAGAAAACACTACTGATCTGTAGTTGAGGCTCCCGTGAAGATGCGAGTCAAATATTATCCGTTGTTGAGGCTGCCGTGAACACACGAGCCAAATATTATAGCCGCAGCACATGGCCTGGAATTTGCAATAAATTCTCAAAGTCAGCTAAAAATCACTTTCTCTTCTCTTGACAAATGACGCCACAAGGTCAACAATCACTACATCCTAGGCCTAGCATCATCTATTGGTTGATTTGAGCGCATCCATTGGTTGATCTGAACATAGCATGCTTGGTCGATACTGGGGCCCCGCGGGAAGCTGAGACTTGTGCATGCGCATGGTGCATAATTGCACTTACAAGCCGCGAATTCGAAGGAGAGAGAGAGGAGAAAGAAAAGTGGTCAAATCACAAGGTACATGTGACATATTTTTTCTTCCCCGCAACATCCCTTCCTGCTTAGTTTACAGCGCTTTTATCGAGCAGAGAGAAGAGGGAGAGCGATTTCAGCGTGCAACAAATCTTTGTAGCTTTGCTCGTATTGGACGAATTCTGAAATTTTTGTGGCAGTGAATTCGTGAGGCAATGAGCTCTTTTAGTGAATCCATTCTATGGCTACTTAGAAAAGTGTTGCAGGGTCGCATCAAGAGTTTTGAATATTAAATGGTTCACATACAATAAAAATTGCCAGAAGAAGAGTGGAACCTGCACCATAGAAACATTCCCTCCACAATCAGTATTATGATCATGTCTGCTGAGAAAGCTGGGGAAAATTATAACAAGGGGCTACACACACTTTTAGGAGTGCGTAAGAATAAATTGCTTGGGTGATGGTTTTGTGTCACGCTAGCTAAACCTATAGAGCACAAGTATCTGCAATGCATTTGGGCCTACCACAGTGATCAACACAACCCTGATTCTGCCCGCAACCACGTCTGATGATGTGCCACACCGAAAGTAGAAAAAATGGGAGATACAAGAAAGGAGCAAAGGGGTCTCAATGCAGGGGTCCTGACAAGGAATTAGGTGTTACATGTCAGGTATAAATACAGTGAACTCTCACTAAACGAAACCTGAAGAGACCATAAAAATATCTTCCATCTAACAGGAGTTCCGTCTACTGAGAGATGGACAAAGTTGCAGAATACAAGCACCAAACCAGTCTTATTAGAAGCATTTGTTCCATTTAAGCAGCGGTTCCGTTTAACAGATTTCTGTTCACCGAGAGTCTGCAGTATTTGATTCTGGGCTTTTATGCACCAAAACCATGACACAATAATAAAGCACAGCAAAAAGACAGGATAACAATAATGCAGTGAGGAAGAATAATCTAGTGAAGTGTCTGCAGCTTTAGACGTCACCACAGCACCGTTCTCCACCGCTCTCATCCCATCACTATGGCACAGTTCTCCGCCTCTTGAATGTCCCAAAACCAACGTATGATTATGAGAGACCTCGTAGTGGAGGGTTCCGGAAATTTCGACTATATGGGGTTCTTTAGTGTGCAACGTAATATAAGCACACAGGCCTCAAACATTTTCATCTCCACTGAAAATGCGGCCGCAGCAGGTGGGATTCGATGCCGTGACCTGCGGGTCAGCAGCTGACTGCCCTAGCCACTAGAACACTGTGCCGGGAAAAGACATGATAAGAAATGCCGTTTGAGAGTTGACACAACAGGGAAATGCTTCTGCTGTAGGATATGTCTGGAATAGTCAAGCCCCTTTGCTCCTGACATTCCATTTATGGCTCTTTTATGTATTAGTAAACTTTTCAAGAATATTCTTTATATAGAACCCTCCCTCGACAATGGCTTACAATAATAAGTGGATAAGCGAATTCCATGATAAGTAAGTTCTACGACAAAGCCTGCTACGGGGGTATTTTAATGAGACGCACAAATAACAGTTTCAGTTATGCTGGTCGATTAAGGGGGGAGGTGGGTCTTTAGACAACTTTTCTTATTTTTAGTGCCAGCTAGATGAAAATGGGCAGTCTTGAGCAGTTTTTTACGCTGATTTCAAATCTGTAATTAGTTTTTGATAGCTGCAATAGTTCATAAAATATTGATGTCTGAAATCAAATTAGTTTCATACTCATTACAGGGCTTTATGAAAATTTAGTCTTGCTAAACCAAAATCTGAATGCATGACACTGTTGCTAAAGATCTACTGTAGGGGGTGATGCTATTTTTATTCATTCAGAAGCATTTTACATGGAAAAAAAAAGGATCATGAAATTACTGTGAATATTTTTTTTTAATTAGCAGCCACTGCTACACCTAACTGTAAATTTCATGGGAGTGCACGAGTGATGAAAATAGCATCACCCCTCCAGATCATTTTAATACGAATAAAATGATACCACATTTGCCATTTTCGCTCAAATATAACACATAAAAAACACTCGTAAGGCTGAGTACGGTGTGCAAAAACATCGAACTGAGAAAAACGCACTTGAAGTTTCAACCCAAAGTAGCTTTTCTTGAAATTAACTTACCGCAATACAAATGGTACTGTTTTGTAGCTCTGTGTTTTGTGAACATGGCCGTACTAAATGTGTGACTGCAGACTCTCAAAATAATAGTTCAGTGGCCACCGAAACGGCATGAGAAACTGTATTTACAACGCTGTGTGTCTGTTTCAGTACACAGCAAGCAAAACAGCACTTGAACAGCATGGTAGCAAACACTTGAATAGTATAATGAAGTGGCTCTTCCACAGACAGCATATCTACGCACAATGTTCCAGTCCAAAATGCAATTTTTGTCGGAAAATTGCCACTGCTGTCCACTGAAACTGCCCTACAGCATACCAGGACTGTAGGCCGAGTCTCTTGCTGGTTTGTGTCGCTTTGCAAGGCGGGTTTTTGTTGAACAGCTGTCAGTGTGCTTTTTCTTGGACTTCTACAGCCTGATGTTGTCTTTTTCGAGGCTGCGGAGCACCGAGCGATCTCCAGGGCTGTACCCTAGTTTTTCCGCAATTCCCGCATTGCTCCTCGTGACACCTTGGTTGAAGCGGCTGACAGCTTCAGCCACTGCCCTTTCGACGCTGCGCAATGAGGCGTGCTGCGTTTTCGAAACCTGCTGCCAAATCACGGAGTGCAAGCTTTCACTGGGGTTCTGCGTGAGGCCGTCGCTGCACCTTTCCAGAAGGGCTCTCACTAAGGCGCGTGAACACGGGCTCCAGTGCCTCGCACACAAAGTCGAGCAAGCTATGGTCGTGCGGCGGCAGCTCCTCATTGTTTGCCTCAGCCCTGTTGAATTTGCACCATGACTCGGGGCCTTCAGGACAAAGCTCATGCCTGGGTGTCTGGTCAGTGGATGACATGTGCTTCAGCGTGGCCAGCACAGCCTTCTACATCCATGGCACATCATGCTTGTGACTGCGCAAGGCATAACCATAGTAGGAGGCGATCTTCTTGATTTTATCCTGAGTCAGCCTGCCCTTACCACCAAGTGGCTGACCTTGAGCTTTTTTTTTTGACGCTCAGGGTACGCAAGGCTGCAAACATTCGTTTATGCACATGGTTTATGCAGTCTTTTTTTTGCCACCTTGAGTAGACTTCATTTGTTGTGAGGGCGTGGTAGGTTTTGCTGTCCCCATCTAAAAGCATTGTCGTAATCGAAGCTTATGCTTTTCGAGTGACCGCTGGAATAATGGAAGGGCTGCTACCACTTCCATTTGACCAGCCTTGCAATCAATATTTCTTTGGCACATAGGTGCATGATCAACAAGCCAGGCAGCGTATCCTTCGTCATTTTCTTTAGGTCCCAAGGTGCACCCTAAACAAAAGTTTGACGAGACAACACGGTCTATCACTAAACCTGTGTACATCTCGATGATGCACCCGACACATATGTGTGAAGTGTGCCCACGGGTCAACCAGGTGCCATCATAAATCACGTCGATGTTCCCGGGTGCGTTGCCCAACTCCGCATACAAGTCCTTGATGCAAGCAACACTAGCACCTTCACACTCGGGGGCAGTGGCACTGCAGGCTTTCTGCATTGTTTTCATGTGGCTTTGGAAGGTTTTGTGGCGCAGGCCTCGATGAGATACATTCATGGCAGCAAAAAAGTCCGAGAGAGCTGTTGCCCCCTTACCGATGCTGCTGATGGCCTTCATTGCACGCAAATTGACTTCAAAAGGCCTAATCTTGGCCTCACTGTCGCCGGCTACTCTTGGGGACGAAAAACGGTCCTCGCGGAAGTCGCAGTCACTGCACGAGAGCACAAGCTTTGAGCACAGGCCGTAGTCTTTTTTTCCCCTCGAAAAAGTCATGCTTTTTGCGCCACACTCGGGGCACACGACGAGCCCAAACAACGAGTTTATCACGGCTATGTCGACGAT